AAGTTACAATGAATAGATCAGTTTATAAAGCTAAATGTACATTTTTGCCAATTCAACGATTTATGTTAGTTCAATCATATCAGTGTGAATAATGTCGTCGATATCTAGTGGAGATTCATCAACTACTGATGGTATTTCATATTCTTCGGGTTCTTTCATTTCGTTTTGTATTGTTGCTGTTATTCGTGGATTTGTGTTGATGTTATGAATAAGTTTGAGATTGAATTTACTTTTAGAATGACTTTTAAAATATTTGTGTCGGTTGATTTGGCGATGGTGTTTTGAATTATTATGAAAACGATTGAATATCCGCTTGCTATAAAGATTTGTTTGAGTATTGATTGAATCAGAAGATGGTGAATGATAACAATGAGGTTGTAATGACATTAGTGGTACTGGGTAAGGCATAGTACGATAGTTCTGATGAAATGATGGATCACATTCTAATGACATCAGAGGCTGTAAGTGTTGTTGGTAGCAGCTTCCATGTCCTTGCCATTGTTGTTGTTTGAATACATTCGATTTCGTTTGGATTGGCATGCTGTTGTAATGTAATGCTGTTAATGGTGTTGGAAGAGGAGACCATGTTTCTATGTGAATGGATTTTATTGCAGTCAAACTTGGATCAGTTAAAAGTTGGTAAACAAGGTTTTGGTTGGATATCATTGACTAGGGAAGAGAATATTTTTTTTCTTTTTTTTGGATTTAATTATTTACATAGCTTTTATTATTAATGTTAGGAAGATAGAATAATTAACGCTTTCGAAAGATTGCCCTTGGGTTAAATCGAAAAACACAATATAATACGATACAGCCCAGTCCGAAAAGCATCCAACTGATAATTGACATAGGAAGAGACCACCATTTACGACTAGGTTCAAAGATCTTAGTAATTGGAACTGTAAATGGTTCGTGTATTCGTTTCAAGAGAGCATCCATTCTTTGCTCGCCCGGCTTTGTATTGAACCACGACGTATTCTCTTTAAGGTATCGATTAACATCCACAACAGAGATGTTATTAGTCAGTAGACTATTGTTGTACAAAATTACGAGGGAAGGGGCACTTGAAGGTATTGCCCGGCCTACTAAGGTGAATTTTGGACATGCGATTGTATAACCTGGAGTGACATTTACAAGAGCCACAGGTGAGAGAACTAGTTCTTCATTCATGTTCAAAGTTTGTTGCCGAATGATGGAGTATTCCGTTTCTGGAATGTTCAAACAATGAAGAGGTTCAGATGATGAAGTAACGTACAGGTTATCTCTTAGTGGTCGAAAAAAAAATTTTGCAGGCGGGAGTACTATTGTTTCACAAATAGATAATGGAAGACTTCCTAATATTTGACCTAGGCAAGTTTCTTGCGACATTGTCTGAATTGGTGGAGTATCACGACATGATGTCATTAACTGGAGGTCGCATCCAAATTCTTGAGGATCATGCCATTCCATAGTCATGTTATTTGTTGGGTTGATGGCCCAATATCGAGGAATTTGAGCTAGTTCAAGAGTTTGATTCTTATGAAAGAAAGGAATCGTCAATAATTTATAAGTGAGAAAGAAGGTGTGTTTCTGTTGTGGAACGGCGAAAAAACTAGTGATGACAAGACGACCAATTTCCTGCGGATTCTGGGCTTTATATTGTGAACTAGGAATGAAGTCTATCTGTTGACG